CAGAAAAGGCCATTGGTGAAGGTACAGCCTCAGTTGCAGTTGGCCCAGGACTGAAGGGGTCATGCAAAGCAGTTGAGGCTTGGCACCATAAAGAGAGCCTATGAGAGGCTATTGGTGAAGCCTAGTTGCAGTGGAAGACCCCAGAATATTGGAGATGCCAGTACCCTGGGGTGATCACCAAGAACAGCAGCAACAATGGAATGGAGTGAATTTGAGCCTAGAGTGCTGCTACAGAGGGAAGAGTTAGAGGAGTGATGTCAGCCCTGTGGAGGAGCCCAGGAGGTCATGTGTGGATTCCAGACATTGGAACAAGAAGCTGTGAAGTTGAAATTGACTTGAAGATCCCAAGAAGTTAACGATGCCAGTGCCATGGGATTCCTGATGAGGAAAGCTTCTAACATGGAGTGGAACCAGCCCAAGAGAGTAAAGTTTGTTGTTGCTGAATGCCAGATCTGCCAACAGCAGTCAACAGGATGAAAGGAGTTGGAGATCTGAAGAGCTCTTTGACATTGGACATGGAGATGTGGAGTCTGGAGTTTGCCCGACTGGTTTTCTGTCTTGCTTTGGCTCAGTATTTCCTCACGATGACATTTTGGAATGGGAATGTGTATCCTGCATGAAGTTGGAGGTATGTGATCTGCTTTTTTTGATTTTGATTTCATAAGGAATTACAGTTAAGTGATTGGATGAATCTCAGCAGAGACTTTGAACTTTGGATTTTTAACATTGTTGAGACTGTTATAGACTATGGGACTTTTGAAGTTGGACTAAATGTATTTTGCATTATGCTATGACTATGTATGGCCCCATAGTCTCATGTGTTTGAACAAGCCTATGGGGGCTAGGGAGTGGAATAGTCCAGGGAATGGCACTATTAGTTATTGCTTTGTTGGAGGAAGTGTGTCACTGAGGGAGGGAGTGGGCTTTGAGATCCTCCACCTAGCCATGAGGATGCCAGTCGTCTCCTATTTGTCTTTGGAACTTTCAGCAACTCCAGCTCCATGCCTGCCTGGATGCTGCCATGCTTCCTGCCTTGATGAACCTGTAAGCTAACCACAACTAAGTCAGAAGGATTAGTTATTCAATATTACAGTCATTTGGTTTCTTACATTTTGGAAATGATCCTGTGGTGGACTGTGTCTGTGATGCACCCTTTTATTAATTTTCTTTTCTTGAGCATGAGGTTGGACCTAAGAACCACTTTTGAGATGTATAGTATGGTGACTACTTGTGATAATACAATATCAGATATTGGAGGTCACTGAGGGTATATCTTCAGTGCTCTCTCTTGAATATATGAGGTGAGAAGTGTATTAATAAGATCAATTCACTTATTTAACAATGCACATTTGTATCAAGTATGCTGTACTGCATCAAATACGCAACATTTATTTGTCAATTATACATTTCAGAATCTGGATGAGACAAAAAAATACTGCTATGAACATACTTGATTCTTTTTTCTCTCTTTCTTGTTAAAGACAGATACAATGCTCTGAGTTGTCCTGAACCATGGGACATGGAGCTGAGAGAAGTGTCTGATCAAGAGTGAGCAAGCAATGACTAGTCCTCAGTCCAATAGACTATGAGATATTAAACCTCGAGGACAACTATGCACACGAGCAAGATAAAACCTATCGGCTTTCACTTCCAACCACAGAAATCAAGTTATTGGTTGGACCTTCTGAAGTTTTAGCAGAAAATCCATGTTCATGTTTCTCTTTTAGCCTCTAGAAACTTACTGTCTTCTTTGGTTGACAATTTCTTCCTCCTTCAAGGACGAGAATGGCTAACTGAGTTTTTCATACTAAATCACGTTGATACCCCTTCTCTGTCTCCTTACTGCACTTACAAACAACCTTGATGTGGCCAACTTAGATACCCTAGGAAAAATTTCTTTATCTGAAGGTTCATCTAATGTAGCCTTTATTTCATAGATATCTTTAATATTTTGCTTCATACATTGTAACATATTCAGAGTTTCCAAAGCGTAGGTTGGAGCTTCCTAAATGTTCTCACCACAGTTGTTGACTATGTGAAGTAATGGATGTGTTAACAAGCTTGATTAAATTGTTTTACAATGCATACATATATCAAAACACCATGCTGTAAGCTAAAGAAATATAGAACTTGTGTTTGTCAAACATCTTAAAAGCCATTTTAAAGCTGAGTGTGGTGTTGCTTGTCATTTATCCCAGGAGGCAGAGGGAGGAATACATCTATGTTCAAGGCTAGATTGGTTTACATAGTCACTCAGAGTTCTGCACTGTGTTCCTATCTTATACAAAAGAGCTGATTTTAAAGAGGCCATTATTCAATATACTAGACAAACCATAGTTGTGTGTGTGTGTGTGTGTGTGTGTGTGTGCACGCACACATGCATACATGTGTTTGTGTATGTGTGTGTATAAGTGCTAGGAATGATCTGAAGGCCTAGTACAAGCTAAGTAAGTATCCTGCTACTGGTCTCCACCTCAACCCCTTAGTGGAATTTTCTTTTCTAGTATTGTATCAAGCTAAAAGTCAATGGGTATGAATCATCAACCATGAACTATAATGGTTGTACATGATACAAAAATGGAGTGGTGCCATGCTATCTTTTTTAATATTTGAAAACTGCAAATACTTCAAAAACTCTGTAGCATATATTGTGTCATCATAACTGTTGAGGAGTTTGACTTGGAATCCCTCTCTGTTGTAACCCCTCACTATGTCTAGCATGCCTTTTACAGATAATGCAGGGTCACGCATTGCATTTGATCACCCCTCATACCATTTTAGTTTGTTTTAAACATTTAGTTTGTTTAAGACATGCTTCCTTTTTGTTGTTGACAGCACAGATCATACTCTAGCCTTGAAACAAGCAGAACACGTGAAAAATAACATCCTATAAGCCACCGAAGAGGGAATAGGTTTGTCATTCCTGCTTATACTCTCTTTAGATAGTTTGTGAACCTGATCAGTCCAGCAACTCCTGCAAAAAGATTTATTTTTCACCATCTCCCAGCCTACAACTCCAGTGGAACCTCCCTGCTCTAGAAGAGGCCATACTGGTACCAAGAACCCCAGGTAAGACCCTGCCTACAGACCACCAACACTTGCCTCAGAGCTCTCCAGAATTCCCCTAACAGTCTTCCTTTCCGTTTCACCCAGTTCTTGACCAGGGCCCTGGCAGAAGCTCCTTGTTTTACCAGAGGCTACACAGGTACCCACAATCACAGAGATCATTAAGGCCACCATAGCTCCAGCAGAGGCAACTACTATATCAGAGAACTCACTGACTACCAGAGCCTCAGGCCACTCAGGCAAGAAGAGCAGAGAAAAAACAGAAACTAAGGAAAAATCATTTATATAATAAAGACAACCTCAGAGACTGGCACCTAAACCTCTACTCACTCCCAAGCCAGACACCTTAGAGGCTGGTGTAAGAACACAATCAACATCCAGGGCAATATGTCATCACCAGAACTCAGTTTATCCTACTCCAGGAATCCCTGAATATTCAAACACAGCGGAAGCACAAGAAAATGATTTTAAAATCAACCTTATGTGTGGGACGGTAATTTGGCCACACTCCCCAGAGCCCAGAGAGAGGGCGGAGAGAACAAATCTCTGCCTCAAGATTTCCCTGGCCCTGCTCTTCTCATCCATTTCCAATATATAAGCGAACACCTTCCGACATGTTTCGGGAGAGCAGTTCATCATTCACCACCCAAGCCCGTCATCTGTTAATAAATCAACATATTTTAAATCGTCACATGTCTCTTAAATTCTGGACTCTTCGTTCAAGTAAGTCAAGGCTCGTGCGCGCCCCTCTCCGTGAGGGGCAGGGGGAGGGAGAGAAGTTATTCGTCTGCCCCGGGTACTCTCTGTACTCTTATTAGCCTCGCGGCTTGTGTCCTGTGTCTCTTGTTGCTGCGCCAGCTCACGGGACAGGGGATGAGAAGTCTTTCTCTCCGCGGTCAGCTCCGCACGTCCACCGTCCCCGAGACCGCCCTGACATCTGTGCGCGGGCGCATGGGCTCCGGCCCCGCACGACCCGGGCATGAGATCTGCCCTACACTTATGAAGATGATAGCTGTCCTTAAAAAGAAGTGAATAAATCCATCAAAAAAGCTGGGAAAACACAAAAACAATTGGAGTAAATGAATATATTCCTTAAAGAAAGCCTTAAAAAAACCAAATAGGTGAAGGAAATGAATAAACCTGTTCAAGACCTGAAAATGAAAATAGAAGCAATAAAGAAAACACAAACAGAGAATTCTGAAGATGAAAAATTTAGGTAAGGGAATAGGAAGTACAGATTCAAACATCATCAAAAGAACAGGTGGAAGAAAGACTCTCAGGTGTAGAAGATACGATAGAAGAAATTGATACATCAGTCAAAAAAAAAGTATTAAATCTATAAAATTCCTGACACGCCATCCAGGAAATTTGGAAAACTATGAGAAAACCAAACCCAAGAATAATAGGAATATAAAAAAGAGAAGATTCTCAGATCAAAGGCCCAGAAAATACCTTCAACAAATTCATAGAAGAAAACTTCCCTAACCTGAAGAAAGATGCCTATGAAAATACAAGATTACAGAACACCAAACAGATTGTACCAGAAAATAAAGTCCCCTTTCCACATCATAATCAAAATGCTAAATATACAGGACAAAGAAAGAATATTAAAAGCTGAAATGGAAAAAGGCCAAGTAACATATAAATGCAGACCTATCAAAATTACACTTGCCTTCTTCTCCTTCTCCTTCTCCTTCTCCTTCTCCTTCTCCTTCTCCTTCTCCTTCTC